ATATTTGATATCAAGATTAAAATTTTTTTTAATTTTAGTCATGTTTATTTTAAAAAAGCTTCTTTTTTATTAAATAATTATTCAAAAGGGTCACTTTCATTTTTGTTTTCATTTTATTTAGGTTAAAGTACTAATTACTAGGATTTATGGTAGATTTCCTCGCAGTCAGAAATTGTTTTCCACTTGACAATTTTTCAGTTGAGCAAGTAAATTAAAAAAAAAAATTTAATTAATGTTGATGTAAAACTCTACGAAATATAGCAACAGATATTAAAAAAATTTTTTTTTTATAGAAATATTCTACACGCTGAAAAATTCATTATTTTTCAAACAATCTTTTAATTGGTCGTTTGTATGAAATATATTTTTTAGAATTCTTTTTTTTTTTTTAAATTACACTCGCGGGCATTTAAATATATTTTATTATTTTTTCTTGCGTGAAATTTACAAATAGAATAATAATTTTTTTTTGTTTTTTTTTTTCTTTGAAAAAGAGCTGTGTTGAATATATATTTCTTTTTTTTGTAAGGAAAAAAGTGCTTTAATTGTTCGGAAAGTCAAAAAAGAATGGAGAGAATAACTCGGGTGAAATTGGAGTTGCTAAAAAAAAAAGGAAAAAAAAAGAAAAGAAAACATTATGGAGTATAGACCGAAAAGGTAATCTGGAGGTTTGTGAATTGTGAAGATACAAGCAACTCGGCCGAGTGCAATTTGTCTTGTTGTTACCTACACTTGCTTGTATCCCCTGGGAATACAGTGATGAACGATCTAACAGTCGCGTTTGCTACTGACTCTAAATTAACCGAAAACTATCAACACCTTGACAACCTTTTTACTAATAAATGATTTCTTCAGCGATCATTTTTTTTTCCATTTTTCGAAAATTGCCTTTCAAATAACTTTTGTCACTGAGTTAAAAAAATCGTCTTTTACAACAAAAAAAAAAAAAATTATTATTATTATTAAAATTATTATTTTTTGCCTTTTTCGTATTTTATTATTAATGTCATTATTATCAAAAATGACGATTTTTTGATTTGATTTTATTTCTCCATTTTCGTATATTCCCTTGTGTAATCTGTGAAATAATTCATTCATGTGGAAAAATTGAGGAACTTTATTAAATCTGGGATCGACGCCATTTGGTCTTACAATTAAATGCCGTCCGAGGGAACATCGTTTCATGAACTGTGGACCGGAAGAGCTCCCTGGAAATTTCCGGTAGCGGTCCTTTTCGATATCGCCGCTAGTAATACAGTTCCGGATTAAATTGGTAGTTTCCTCTTGGTGAAAACGAATCTAATAGGTTCTATAGAATGTTCATCCTCTTTTTGATTTTCTTTTCAATAGAAGAGATATATATATATATATATATATATATATATATATATATATATATATATATTCGTTTAAATATAAATATACGATATTTCGCGAATTTTTCAATTAAACATGAAAATATTAGAATTGCATCGAGCTTCTATTTTTATTTTTTTTATTTGTTGGGAAAAAAAAAGAAAATATTTTTCACTAATTTTATTGTAAATATTTTTAAATAGCAATTTTCATTGATTCGAATTTTTTTTTTCTCATTAAAAGAAAAACTAACACATAAAAAAAAGGGGGGAAATAGAAGCAGAGACTAAAAGTCTAGACACTGAAGGATAAAACACGTCCTGTTCTTTCGACCTTTCTTTGAAAAATCAGACCTCTGATACGTTTTCCGCGTCGTTCGTTTCGTTTGATGAAAGTATTCTCAGAGACCCCACCAATTCAAAGGTAAAAGTAAATATTTCATGGTAAAAAAAAATAGCGTCTTCTATGTTGAATTGAAATTTTTCAAATATTCAATAGAATTTTCTTTCTTTTTCTCTCTTTTTTTCATGGTACCCACTTGGACAGATTCCCCGGAAAGTGCCCCCTGGAGATTCTATCAGAATTCCTCCGGAACTTCCAACGTAATTCCGTCGGAATTCCATCGGAGTTCTAAAGAATTTCCGATGGGATTCCGATGGAATTAGGACTCTAAAAATTTTGAAAAAAATTAATCGGAATTCCGTTGGAATCCCATCGGAAATTCTTTGGAACTCCGATGGAATTCCGACGGAATTACGTTGGAAGTTCCGGCGGAATTCTGATAGAACCTCCAGGGGTCACTTTCCTGGGAATCTTTTTAAGTGGGTATTCATTTTGAATATGTACACTGAGAAAAAAAATTTAGTGTTTGCAACAAAATTGTTTGATTAGGCAATTTTGGTTCTTGTAACCAAATTTTGGTTGGCTGAAACAAAGCCGTAGAGTTATCTCAACCAAATATTTGGTTAGGTCAACAATATTATTTGGTTGAACATTTTTAAATTCCAACCAAAATTCGGTTACGACAACAAAATAATTTGTTTAACCAAAAAAAATAGTTTGTTGTCTAAAAAACCAAATGATGGTTTGTTGTCCTAACCAAAATTTGGTTGCGACAACCAAATAATTTGATTCGCTCTCAGCTCATTGCTTAAGAGAACCGTTAGTTTAATTCTCTCACAAGGATGGGTAGTCCAGTGGTCAGAGCTCTCGATCTTCAGTTTTAAAACAGAGGTTCGATCCCAGACGGTGATGAGATTTTTCAAAGTCCACAAATATTTCAATTGGATAAATATAAATTCAATGTTAAATTGATAATAAATAAATAATAAAAAAGATAAAAAGAAAAGAAATAAGGTAGAATAAAATTTTTAATTTTACAAAAAAAAACTGTTTGTTTGATCAACCAAACATTTTTGTTGACCTAACAAAAAAAATTTGGTTGAGCTAACCAAACATTTTTGTTATGCCAACAAAAAACACTCAACCAAATTTTTTGGTTGACTCAAACAAATAGTTTGGTTGTTTAAATACCAACAAAATTTTTTTGTTGGCACAACCAAATTTTGGTTGCTCTGACTAAACATTTTTCTCAGTGTATCTATTTTTAATAGTTTTGGTTTTGTCATTTTTCTTTTGCTAAATAATAAAAAAAAAAAGAAAATAGATTTCAGTTATTATTTTCTGTCTTTGTAATATTTAATTATTAAATGTCATAATTGTATAGAAAAATTATCATTTGATTTTAAAATATTCTATAAAAAAAAACGAGAGGAAGAGGCTGCGAGAAAATCGTATCGCATTTTCCTTCAAAGTATGGAGGCAATCAGGGACTTGGAAAAACTTTAATTGGTTGGGTCTTGGCTAACCCGACGGCGCTTCAACTCGAATTGCCAATTTACCTTTTCTGAGCGCTTAATGATTTTTATCCCGACGTGGTTTGTTTCTTAAGGGCGCAAAAACGTATTATTCTTATTGTAAAACTTGTCCCGCATAGAAAAAAAAAAAAAAAAAAAATAGTGGGGAAAACGAAATTTGTACTTCGATTTGTTATAAAAATCTGATTCAAATTAGTTACAATTTTTACTAATTAAAATTTACCGAGTAAAGTTTTAGTGAAAAATTACAAAAAATACTCTACTTTTAATATTTTTAGAAATTACTAATTTATATTAATGAATGAATTTTTATTAAAATTTTAAAAAGTAGGTTAAAATTAGTGTTGTATTGTTTCTAACAAAATGACATTTGAAAATTAAAGGAGAAATTTTTGTTTTAGAATGAAGATTTTGTATTTACAGTATAGAATTGTATTATTCCCATTGAGTATAAATGGAACTCGGTGAGATTCTCTCTACTATAGCCACTAAGTGTTATCCCATGTCCATAGAAAATCAGATTCTGTGCCACAAATGCTTCGACAGCTTTTGCATCTGAACAATTCGAATGATTCATTTTGTATTTTACATACATTGTATTCCAAGAGATTTACTGTCATTTATTTCACAAAACAGTTTATTCTAATCACCAATTAAATTGAAAAGTATCAAATTGATAAAATATTTATTTTATTTTCAAAACATTTTTTTTTTTACACAGAAAAAACTTGGACTAATTTTTGTTGCAGTTTAAAATGTGCGAACGTGGCGCCACCTACGAGGCACATTTTTGTTGCACTTCAAAATGTACGTTACGTTACGTTACTCATTTTGATCTGAGGGGGTTTTTTTTTGTGTAAAATTCGATAAACTTCTTTTTTGTATTTAAATTAAAACGGAACCAATTTCAATTTTTCCTGAATTTTAAAAGCTCTATGTATATATATATATATATATATATATATATATATATATATATATATATATATATATATATATATATATATATATATATATATATATATATGTTTCGAATTTCAATTCATGGAGAGCAATTTCTGTATATAGATTAATAGAAGAATTTTTTGACGGTGCTTTTTTGATAAAGCTTACATCAAATTTGCATTTGCTCTTCCATCAATGCCAGCGGCAATATGTATATATACATTGAAAGAGGGGGGTTTCAATAAAATTCGTAAAACAGTTTAATTGCATTATGGTGTCGATCCCTCGGGAGGTTTAAAAAATGGGGTTGCCGATTATAGGATGGGGGGGTTTTTTTTTTAAAAAAAGAAAAAAAAATTGGGCTTACAGCAGAAAAAATAGTGTGAGGCGTAGCAAAAATGACTTAATTATTCATGGAGAGAGTTAGACCTCTCTCTTATTACTTCCCTTATATCTGAATTAGCGGTTGGCGTGGTACGAAATTCTCTTGGCAGACGGTATAGCCGTCGAAAAGTGCCTTTAGAAAAATATCTCTCAGCGCCCGTTGGCATGCTATACGACCAGCAATAAATAAATTAGAAGGACTAATTGACAAATCGGTAATCTTGCGCTCGACTATATATATATATATTTATATAACGGAATGGTAACGGATGGGGAGCAATAACTAAAGAGGAAAAACCTAAACAGACGCTCTACTTCTTTATTACAATTTTCTTTTTCTTTCAAAATTTATAACAAAACTTAATGAAGAAATAATTCTAAATAATTTTTGTTAAAAATTTTAGTTGTAATGTTAAAAAAAAAAATTTTTTGTTTCAGAATCGATGTTGGACCATTCTGCTGTATACAACTGTGAGTAGAAAATTTTTACTATATTTTAGCCTCTAATTTTGTCCCAATTTTAAATCGTAGTAAAATTATTTAATTTTACATGAGAAAAACTTTTTCGTAAATACGTTTTGGAGGTTTGAAAAATAATTTGAAAAATTAATTCACTAATTTCACGGAAAATTAAAAGGCATTAAAATAAGCTGCAACGCTTATTATTTTAATCCAATTTTGATTATTTTAATCTATTTTGGTATTAAAATACATAATAAGCGTTGCAGCAATTATTTTAATGCCTTTTAATTTTCTGTGTTGAAGATATCATCAAAATTGCCAATATTTGGATCAAAAATACACGGAAAAGAACCTGAGCTCAAAATGAGTAACGTACAAAAATGTGCCTCGTAGGTGGCGCCACACGTTCTGTTCTTTGACTTATTTTGAACTGCAACAAAAATGAGTTCAGGTTTTTTTTTTGTGTATGTCAATTTGATCCAATTCGGTATCAATTGGATCCAATTTGATATGATTCTAAATTCTTACCTTCTTTAATAATTACATTTGGATTTTTTTTTTATACTATTTCCCGTTGTTTTAAAATTTTTTTCCAAAGCTCCACATAATATTTTCTGCTAGACATGAAGTGATAACACTTCACTGTATCATACTACACATATATATACGAATGGGTCGACGATTCCATTCGTTACTTTTGTCACACTCATTTTCTTTTTCGTTGCAACGATTTTATCTTTTTATTTTTTTTCATTTCTGCGGTTTGAATTACGGTTGCAAACATTTCCCTGAATTTTTGGTTGTGCACCGATTTTTCCAAACCGCAAAATTCCCAAGCGGGTCATTGTCCTATAATACGATGAATACAATAATGCATCCGATGAGAAATATGAGCCTTTCGTATTATATTTATATATATATAGGAAAACTAAATTCATAAAAATAAAAACTAAAACGATTCAATCGAGAAATTCTTCTCTCTCTCTCTCTCTCTCTCTCTCTGCTATGAACGCGGGAAAAACAATCGCATTTTAGGTTTTAACGAGCACAAGAAATGGAAATCCAATAAAATGTTGCCATTTATTATTTTTTAGTGTTTTCTTTTTATGAGTCCACGTCAGGGGGATTCGCTTTTTCATAAAAAGGTTTTTAACGAGAATTTTATTGAAATTTTTATACTTAGGTATTTTTCTTTTTCTTTTCATGCGCGTATAGAACAATTTATTTAAAATTAATGATATTTAGAGTTTAAAAAAGTTGAGTAAATGAAAATTTGAATTTTATTTTGTAATGAATTGATGGATGTTTTTTTTTTTTTTTTTTTGCAAGAAAGAATAGTTTTTCTTCTTGGAGAGGCTTATTGAGTTCCACTGGGAAGTTAATACTTTACTACATTGATAAATCTGTGGCTAACGGAAGTTACGGATAAAACAAGTTGGTTCATTTTATCGACTTCCAGAAGAAAAATAACATATTTACTCAACTTGACCTACGTGGCGCCAATTCTCAGTGGGTGGTCGCTTCTTTTTATACTTATTTTCTCCAAAATGTTTTACGAGACACGCCACAGTGATTTGATCTTCTTTTTTCTTTATTATCAACAAAAAAAAAAAAAAAACTAAAGTTTGTAATCCACCTTTCTTGAAGATTTCCTGTTTTTATTGCTCTTTAAAAACACCACTTTCTACTGATTAAATTTTGCTTTTTCGTTTTCTATTTTTTAATGAAATGAAAGGAAAAAAAAAATTTCGCTGCTTGTAAATTTATGTTCCCAACAAAAAAAAAAATTGTAAATGAAAAATTCAAAAAGAAGGTCTGAGGGCTCAGAAATGAAACACTTGCTCTCTGTGAAAAGGTGGGGAAAAGGTTTGAAAATTTATTCGATTCAAATAATTAGTTCGGTGATACCAATAAATATTTATCAAATAATCATTTGAATTAAATAAATTGTATTTAAATCAATAATTTCTGTATTTGGAGAAATAATTTCTTTTAAAGCAAATAAAATTTAATTTATACAAATATATTTAGTATAAATATTTATTTGATTATAAGGAACCGATTATTTGAATCAACGAAATCTTTTCTAATATATTTTGTGCTTCTTTTCGAATTTTTGAATTTACTTCAATGTCCTCAACAATTTTTTTTTATACAGCAATGAATAAGGCACAAAAATAGTAAAAATATATATATAATTTTTTACAGCAGTAGTAATTTTTCTTTTTATACTATTGGCTTGTCAAATATTTACACCTTGACAGTATTTCTTTTCTCCAGTATAAATATATTTATTGTTGACTTGGAACTATAAATTTTCAACGATGACATTAATATATTTTGCAAATATTATTTTAGAGATATTATAAATATACATTTCTAATATATATAAAAAAAAAAAAATATCAAATATTCGCAATGTATCCTCTAGAGTCGACAGCCAATCTCTTTTCGCTGACATTGCTGATGCGATAACAGAAAATGCGTAGACAGTACACGCACGTACGCACCGATATGAAAAAACATATACACAAGGGGGAGGATTTTTGGAGATAAAAAAAAAGTGCCCACAGAAAAGAAATACACACACAGAGAGAGAGAAGGATTTTGATCGTTCGCAAAGCGAGTATTGTGATTCAATCTAGTTCTCGAATTTTCCCAATTTTTTCCAATAGGGAAATGTGTTCGGAATAGAAATTCCCCTTTGTTATGTAAAGTAAAGTCTACCGCGATTTTCACACTGAAAGTTATCACGAGGGTCATTTATATTTACGAATGACCTTTTTTTTAAAAGGGTATTTTTAATAAGAAATTATTTTATCGAACAAAAATTATAATATTTTTTTTTTAAATTTATTTAAAACAATCTTAATTAGAATAGGTATTTATAATTTAATGCTTAACCGCATTTTTCACTGAGGAAAATTTGTCTCGACGGTATATTTCTGTTCACTTAAAAGTTTTCATTTGTATTTGCGGAATTTTCTCGTGGTCCTCTCTCTCTCTCTCTCTCTCTCTCTCTCTCTCGACTATATCGCGAATACGAGTTGTTGGAATTTGCGGTTTATTAAACGCCACTAATGCTTGAAACTATTTGCTTCCACATCCCTTGAGAATTGTACCGAAACAATTTTCTATTGGTCATGTTCACGAAATAAAATGTCTCGAAATTTGACCCTACTTTGCGTTATTAATAGGGCTTTCATCAGGGCCTCGACAGTTTTCTTAGTTTGAAAGAAATTTATAAATAAATTAAATTTTATTAAAAATACCATCGGTAAATAGTTGTCTAAGAATTTTTATATTTTTGTTTTTCAGGATCTGAAAAAAATTCCTTGACAAAACCCCCCATAAATAGTTCTCATATAGGCGAAACTAGATAGTGCTCCATCAGGTCCTTATTTCAAAAAATACTTTTTAAGATATAAACTATTATAAATAAGACAAAATACTTCTGCCTTATTGGTTGCTAGTTAATTTTTCTCACGAAAAACTGTTTTTCTATACAGTTTCCATATAGTTTACCTATATAGGCAAAACTAGATAGTGCCCCATTAAGCCCTCATTTCATTAAATACTTTTGAAAATATAATTTATAATAAATAAGGCATAATACTTTTGCCTTATTGGTTGCTTGTCAGTTTCTCGCACGAGAAACTATTTTCCTACATAGTTTCCACATGGTTTTTCACATATACGCAAAACTAGATAGTGCCCCATCAGGCCCACATTGCAAAAAAATATTTTTTCAGATATAAATTATTATAAATGAAGCAAAATAGTTTTGCCTTATTGCTCGCTAGTTAGATTCTCGCACAAGGGCCATATAGGGAAAACTAAATAGTACCCCATCAGATCCACATTTCATAAAATAATTTTAAAAATATAATCCGTGTAGAAATTCTGTCATGGCCTTGATCAGGCTTCTGTATTAGGGAATGAAACGCCGCGCCAGATGTGGCCCTGATTAGGAAACGTGGAGTTTCATTCCCTACTAGGGCCCTGGCATTTCTACACGGGAAATTATTATAAATAAGACAAAATAGTTTTACCTTATTGGTTACTAGTCAGTTTTCCTATATAGTTTCCATATAGTTTTCCCATATAGGGAAAACTAGATAGGACCCCATCAGGCCCACATTTCAAAAAATAATTTTCTCTTTTTTAAAACAAATTTTCTCGCTTAAAAATTATCGTTTAATTTTGATAATTTGAAAATTTTGCCAAACAAACTTTAATAAATAAGATTAAAATATTAGGCAATAGATTAAAAGCATTAAATTGAATCATATAATAGAAAAAGTGAAGTATTGTGTGTGAAGTGGAGAATTAGGATTCTGATTTCTCACCCGTTATATATTATTGAAACTATTGGGGAGAAGAATGGAAAAAGGGTGAGAGTGGATAATCCCTTGGGAACATCTCGAGGGTTTTCCGCGACACACGTTACTTCTCTTATTGACAGTCTATGTGAGAAAAATAAAAGTCGTCGAAAAATGCACAGAAAATACATAGTCCCCTCTTTTGAGACACAGAAAAAAAGAGAGAGAGAGAGAGAAGAGGATAAAATCCCTCTGTTCTTTAAGGATCGTCAATTCAATATCGACTATTCTGAATCGCTTCTGAGATTTGAGAATACACATACATACAGTGCTCCCAATGGTGAAATGTTCCTTTGTTTCCTTATATATATATATTGCCAATACTTTTAAACTAAAAGTTTCCAAATTTTTCTTTATTGAAAAAAATATGATGGCTTCTTTAAAATTTTCATATTCCCCTTTTCTTAAAATAAAAAATTATTTTTAACTTTTTTTTAGAAATAATTATTTTTATAATTATAATTATATAATTTTTATAATTATTAATTATTAATAATATATAATAATAAAATGCTTGGTCTATACTTCTGTCCTAACTTGAAGTTAGTCTTTACTGATTTCACGTGTTTTTTGAGTTGTAATGTTATGACGTGTCAAATTTGTGTCAAATTTTTAAAATTATTTTTCTCATTTTTGCCCAACTTGTATAATTGTTAGAGCTGTGCAAAAGTTCGAATTTTATATTCTATCTAAAAAAATGGAATAAAATCCATTATTCTTATTTTATTGCAATTTAGATTCAATTGGTAGGTTTTTTGGAAGGTAATTGAAGGTTGTTTCAAGGTAAAAAAATAATAGAGACATGCTGTTTAATTTTATTTAACTTTGTAAGGAATTTTTTCCTTTTCCAGGAAAACATTCTATCTAAAAAAATGGAATAAAATTCATTATTTTTAATCTATTGCAATTTAGGTTCAATTGGTTGGTTTTTTTGAAGGTAATTGAAGGTTGTTTTAGGGTAAAAAAATAATAGAAACATGCTGTTTAATTTTATTTAACTTTGTAAGGAATTTTTTCATTTTCCAGGAAAACATTCTATCTAAAAAAATGGAATAAAATTCATTTCTCTTATTCTATTGCAATTTAGGTTCAATTGGTAGGTTTTTTTGAAGGTAATTGAAGGTTGTTTTAGGGTAAAAAAATAATAGAAACATGCTGTTTAATTTTATTTAACTTTGTAAGGAATTTTTTCATTTTCCAGGAAAACATTCTATCAAAAAAAATCGAAAAAAATTGATTATTCTTATTCTCTTGCAATTTAGGATCAATTGGTAGGTTTTTTTGAAGGTAATTGAAGGTTATTTTAAGGCAAAAAATAAAAGAAATATGTTGTTTAATTTTATTCAACTTTGTAAGGAATTTTTTCATTTTCCAGGAAAACATTCTATCTAAAAAAAATGGTATAAAATTCATTATTCTTATTCTATTGCAATTTAGGTTTAATTGGTAGGTTATATAATTGTGTTTCTAAATTTCTGAATTGGTTTCTTTAAAATTTCTTTATAATAAACAATTCGATACCCAATTTCGCGCGTTTAATTTAGCTAGTTTATTATTATTTTCTGTATTATTACCTTTTAGTAGGTTTTAAAACTTTATTTTTTTTTAAAGTATTCTCTTTAAATTTTTTTTATTAAGATAATTATTGAAAATAACGTTTAATTATAAGTTATCGTTAGTGAGTTAAAGATGATACTTTGGGCTTTAATTATAGAGTCGATAATATATTGCGATAATTATGTTTTGATAACAATCAGTAACGTAATTGACTTGATAAAATTTTATAACAAAAATTAAAATTCAACACAAAACTGGATGATAAAAATTACGAAATTTGGAAATAATTTTGTATGTTACAACGAAACATTTATTCTAATCTACATTAATTTGCCCAATAATTAATATGCTCTATATTTATTAATGGTATTTAAATATCAATTTAAATGATTTTTGAAAAACTTCATGAAATATTTGAATGTTTTCAATTTACTAAGTAAACAAAGTGAATTACTATATTTATAAAAAAAATGAAATAATAAAACAAGGTTAAATTAATAATAATAATAATAGCAATAATAATAAAAAAATTAATGAATAATATAATAATAGAATAAAAATAATTGTAAATAATAATACGAAAAAGAAGAAATTTTTTTGCAAGATTAATAATTTTACCAGGGCATTACAAATTTATTTACGGCACTGTAGATAAGATGCACGAAGCCTTCAGAATCAGCTGTTTCTATTTTCGTGCCAGTCATGATTGTTTTACCGCTTCAGTGAATTGTGTGTATGTGTTTTTAAAGAATGATTTTAAATTATAGAATAACAAGTTGAATGAAATGAAGTGAATTTTATTAATAATTTAATTTTTATTACCCAAGGTAGGTAATTTATTGAAAAATAAACAATTATTTAAAATTTTATATTTATATATTTAAAAGTTTAGAAAATTGTAAACAAACCTTGTATATATATCTATATATATATTTCAGATAAAAGTTTTGAAATTGAAAGAAATAATGAAGGATCGAACAAATCAAATACTCGAACCCCAAGAATGTCTCGATATTGTTAATAAAAAATTGAATGAAAATTCAATGAACGAATTTTCTTTAATAAAATATGAAATTGTACCTGTCCAACATACCAATGGTTATTTGGGTCAGTATTTTTATCTCAAGGTCTCAGTGGCAAGACCAGAATCACCGACCGATAGAAGAAAAATGAAATTTTTTATTAAAATACGCCCACCAAAAGGTACAAAACAATATGATATTGTTTGTAATAGTGGAATGTTTAATAGAGAAGTTCGTCTTTATAAAAAAATATTCCCTGAAATTATTGATAAATCAGATAATGATTATTTGCCAATTTGTTATTTGGGAATTGAAAATGATGTTCTTGTATTGGATGATATGATTTTAAAGGGTTATCACATAATAGATGATAAATTAAATACCCTTAATATTGATCATTGTAAAATAGTAATGAATACATTGGGAAAATATCATGCGAGATCAATTATTTTTGAGGAACAAAATAAAATATCATTAATTGATTTTTGTCGTGAGAAAAAAATTATTATCCGCTCTTATGATGGACCACCACCATCTGTATTTACGACTGGTGTTAAATGTGCCTTATCTGTCATTGATTGCATAACTGATTTAGAATCTACGACTCGTGATAAATTTAAGGCATTAGTCAATGATATACAAGGGAAATTACATAAAATGCTTGTTCCCTCAACAAAATATAGAAATGTTCAATTACACGGTGATTTATGGACTAATAATTTATTATTTAAATATAATGCCGATGATAAGCCAGTACAATGTTGTTTTATTGACTTTCAAAATACAAGGTATGTTAGTTTTTAGAAATAATTAAATTTAGATATTTAAATTAAATTATTAAATTCAATTTGAAATTTGATTTTAGATACGCGCCGCCAGCTTATGATATTTTAGTTTTCCTATATTATACAACGACAAAAGAATTGAGAACAGAATATACGGATACTTTGTTTAAAATTTATTATTCGTCATTTGAAAAATGTTTAAAAGCTGAGAATATTGATATTGAAAAATTATTCCCATGGAATAAATTTATGGAATCGATTAATGAATTTAAAATTTATGGATTGTTTCGTGCCATTATTGCATTGCCAATAATATTGTCTAATATGCAAACAATTGGCAATGAAACATCACAATTATGGTCAAGTGTTTCCGATGAGACTTTATCATTTTATTTAAATCAATTTAAAACAAATGAACGTTTCAAAAATAGAATGCTTGACATTTTTTATGAACTCGAATGTTTCTTATGAAAAAAAAGAAGCGATTTCTTTAGTATCTAATAAATATTTTATTTTCTAACTTTTGTATTTGTAATTGAGAATTTTATAATTGTTTTTTTTTTCGAGAAATATTTTATTAAAAAAAAATTGTTCTGAATAAAAAAAAAAATAACAAAGAATTTTTATTTGTCTTAGATAAGTATACCCTTTGTAAAAAAAAATTAATTTTCGTATCCTTTTTTCGTTCTGAACTTTTATTTTATGGAAAAAAGTTTGAATTTGCAAAAAATATTAAAAAAATTACGACCTTCGGTAATTTTCCTGTACCAAACAATAAGGCAAATATTCTATTGGTATATATGGTTTAATTAATGTTTCATTGCATGAGTAATTGCTTTAAGTATTTAATTATCAGTTCAACTATATATCATACCCACAATGTGGAAAATTCTACAAAAATAGCTACTGAGACAATCAGTAAAGTTTATTACCTCGAGAGTAAAAGAAGTTTCTGATTTAAAAAAAAAAAATTAAGAAAGGAAAAATAAGTGACTAGATGAGTATATAGATAATAAAAGAAAAGATAAAAATAGTTAATATTTTGTAAGTATTCAAAATAACTAAAATTATATTCAAATTATTAAAATCAAATAATAATTTTTTTAAACAATAATAATAATTTTAAAAAAAAAATTGTAGGTGACAGTATGTCAGATCAAATTCTTCATTCCAATAAATGTTTAGAAGTTGTTAAAAAAAGTTTACAACAAAATTCAATGACAAATTATAATTTAACAACATATGAAATTCTTCCAATTGACAAATGTTCCGGTTATATGGGACAATATTTTTATCTAAATGCAACTGTAAATAAATTATCAAATGTGAGAAAAATTAATTTTTTTATTAAACGTCATCCACCACAGGGTACAAAACAATTTGATATAGTTTCAAAAACTGGTATTTTTAATAGAGAAATACAACTTTATACAAAATTATTTCCCCTTATTTTTGAAAAATTTAATCATGAATTTATACCCGAATGTTATTTGGGTATTGATGATAATATTCTTGTATTAGAAGACATGGTATCAAAAGGCTATAAAATAAATGATGATAAATTTGAAAATTTTGATTTTTTACATTGTAAAATTGTCATGGAAACATTGGGTAAATTTCATGCAAAATCATTTATTTTCGAAGAAAAAAATCAAATGAATTTAATTGAATTTTGTCAAATAAAAAAAATTAATATTATACCCAATGATAATTCACAAGATGGTGTTTCGACTTTATATAAAAATTTAACAAAAGGACTTTTATATTGTACAAAAAATAATTTTCAATTTGATTTATTAACATGTGAAAAATTTAATTTAATATTTCACGAAATTCTTGGTAAAATGACTGATATATTAACAATGAAAGGGAGAAAAGTACAAGATCACGGTGATTTGTGGTCTAATAATATGATGTTCAAATACAACGATGATGGGAAACCTGTCAAATGCTGTTTTATTGACTTTCAGACTACACGGTGAGTCTTTATTGCGAATTAAAAATAGGTTTTTTTTTTGCAAATTGGTTTTTTGTGTTAAAAATAGTCGTAATTTGATGGTTTTGTTTTTTGATCTTTGGAGTAAAAAAAAATATTCATGGAAAAACTTCATATAAAATTGACAGAAGGTTACAAATGATAAGCTTGCAAAAAAAAATCCTTAGCAACGGTTGATAAGGAACAAAATGGTGATGCTAACGGTTGTTATGGAAACGGTTACTATGGTAATGGTTGTCATGCTATCAGTTGTTATGGTACCGGTCACTATGGTATCGGTTACTATATGGTTCCGGTTAGTATGATACCGGTTACTATATGGTTTCTGTTATTATGGTACCGGTTACTATATGGTTCCGGTTACTATGGTACCGGTAACTGTAGTACCGGTTACTATATGGTTCCGGTTAGCTTGGTACCGGTTATTATATGGTTACGGTTACTATGGTAATGGTTGTCATGCTATCAGTTGTTATGGTACCGGTCACTATATGGTTACGGTTACTATGGTACCGGTAGTTGTGGTACCGGTTACTATATGGTTCCGGTTACTATGGTACCGGTAACTGTAGTATCGGTTACTATATGGTTCCGGTTTCTATGGTACCGGTTACTATATTTTTACGGTTACTATGGTACTGGTTACTACATGGTTCCGGTTTCTATGGTACCGGTTACTATATGGTTACGGTTACTATGGTACCGGTAATTGTGGTACCGGTTACTATATGGTTCCGGTTTCTATGGTACCGGTTACTATATTTTTACGGTTACTATGGTACTGGTTACTACATGGTTCCGGTTTCTATGGTACCGGTTACTATATGGTTACGGTTACTATGGTACCGGTAATTGTGGTACCGGTTACTATATGGTTCCGGTTACTATGGTACCGGTTACTATATGGTAACGGTAACTGTAGTGCCAGTTACTATATGGTTCCGGTTACTATGTGGTACCTGTTACAATATGGTACCAGTTACTATATGGTACCGGTTACTATGGTACCGGTAACTGTAGTGCCGGTTACTATATGGTTCCGGTTTCTATGGTACCGGTTGCTATGGTAATGGTTGTCATGGAAACGGTTGCTATGGTAACAGTTACAGAAAGCAAAACTTCAAAACAGAAAGAAAGGTTTTTTTGGTACCCCTTTCTTTCCTTTTGATTTACACTTTTTTGTTGAAAAGATCAAAAAACAAAACTGTAAAGTTATAAAAACAAAACCAATCATACTTTGTACGTGATTTAATTAGCGCAAATTTTTAATCAAAGTATTTGAATATTATTTTCCAGTTACACATCACCAGCTCGTGATATTTTGATTTTTCTCTATTACACAACAACGAGGGCATTTCGTTTTGAGAATAATGAGAAATTATTTAAAATCTATTACGATTCATTGGCAAAATGTTTAATGGATGTTAATATGAATATAGGTGAAATATATCCATGGAATGAATTTATGGAATCAATTGAAAATTTTAAACTTTATTGTTTGATAAGAGTTATTTATATTATTCCAATTGCATTCAGTGATCTTAAGACAAAAGAACATGAAAATGAATCAGGAGAAGAAATTTGGGATCGTTTACTTAATGATCGATACACTGTATTATCTAATCAACTCATGAAAAATGAGAAATTGAAAACTAAATTATTGGATCTCTTATTGGATCTTCAGGAGCTTTTATAAAAAAAATTTTTTGTTATTAGAACAGTAACTGTTTATATACATGGAAAAAAAATCTTCACCTGGAAAAACTATAAGTTTCACTAAAGCAGCGATATATTTCACTAAAACAGCGAAATTTTTCGCTATTCTAGGGAAACATATCGCTGTTTCAGATAAAGATTTTTTTTTCCGTGTAGGTTATCTTTTATCATTATACAAAAGAAAAACTTTTTAATAATTATCTTATATTGTTTACAACTTGTGTATTTTATAAAATTGTTTATTATTTTTGAAAGAAGTGTTTATTTTTAATGAGAGCAAAAATATTAAGATGAAGATGTAAACAGAAGGGTTTTTATATGAGATGATGGGAGTGAATATTCACTTGTGGAGGAAGTTTGTTAAATTGATGGCGATGACAGTTGACTGATGGGTTACGGTTTTTCGATTGAGTCTCGCAAGTTCGATATCAATAACAACGAGCAAGTCAGATCGACGTCAGGAATTTCTTTTTCCATTTTCGTAAACTCCTATCGACTCATCACGTACAATGAAACATCTTTCTCATAAATTCTTCTTCTTCATCTTTTATTTTTTTCTTTTTATCTCCTATATACTCTAAAAAATACAAATTATTTATTTTTTTTTTTAATAAGAATTGGAATTTTTAATACAAAAAATAATTTCTTAAATTAAAAGTATTTTTTTTGCCAAAAATTTCTTTTTAAAATCATTCATTAAAGATTGAAAGTGGTTTTCGGCAAGATTCCAGAAAATGTTCACAAACGTGCCAAACTAATTCGTTTTTCTTCCTGTATATATAGACACTATATACGCGGTCAATAATTTGTTCCTTTGTCGACGAAATTTTTCAGATATAATCTTCCTCTCCCTATTATCTCTATATAAGGCTTTTTTCTCCCCCTCAAGGCAATCACCAAATAAATTATTAATTTTTGTTATACTTTCATTAAATTCCCTGAAGGAAAATAAAATATTTCTATAATGGTGAAAATTAATTTTTTTTATAGCTATATTTATTTATTAATAAAAATTAATTCTACATGGCGCATTATCTGCGACAATTATTTTTTTTTTCTTCTTTTTGACATTAAGAATTTAATTTAATGTTGCTCATTACCTGAGTTGAATATTAGTTTTGTTAATAAGCAAAAGCCGGGGTTTCATATTAGGATACATTATCCTAAAATGCGAGTATCTAATTATAAATTGAAGTAAACTCTCCGTTAAATACATGATCCATAAATATATATATATATATATATATATATATATATTTTTGGTTTAGTATATTTTAAATAAAAAAATAAGTATTTTTATTATTTTTCATACAAACAAAAAATGTTTTAGTAAAAAAAAAAGAAAATTTCACATGAAATACCCCACATATTGACAAGATTAATCAAAGCTTATCAAAATTTTAAGTTAGTTAAACTTTGATCTGTGATTCAGAATGCCTTGGCTACTTTTGAAGTTCTATTACTGGTCTTTGCCACATACGAAATCAATATTTAAATCTCTAATGGAACTCCAGTTTTGCTGCTGGGTCAAGTCGCGCTAAATAAGAGAGAAAGAAAGAAAGAAAGAGAGAGAGAGAGAGAGCTTAATGCACTTTGAGAGTGAAACTTTATGAATAATTTGCGACAAGAAATTTTTAGTGAAAAATTATTAGCGAGATCAAAAGCATTTTTAACATGACGGTTCAGAGAATATAGAGAGAAAGAGATTGGAAACATAGAGGATATGATATAAAACGATAACGAGAGGAAAATGAAAGATTTTCCTATGTAAATTGTGCGTGATCTGATTTACTGAGCTTTTGAATATATATAGAAAGAGAGAACCAAGCATAATATCGGTTAGCATACATTTGAATAAATTGCAAGTTATGGCTTCATTAAGCTCAACGAATTTTTTCCTTTTTTTTTTTTTATAAGCACCTTTTGCGCCCGTAGAATTTTCTCTACTGCTTGCGGGGGATATTACACTTTGGATTATGAAGCAAAAGACGTGCACCTTTTTTTTGCAAAATAAATTAGTCTTGAAAATTACCGTCTCGTTATCACTCTTGAAGAACATTGGAATCTAGCTAAATAGAATGGATTATGTCTAAAGATTAGGTGGCTTTATTATCGTCTAATGAAATTAGCAAATATATTTCTCGAAATAAATTCTGAATGATGAAAAAAAAAAAAAAATTCTTTCCATACCAATGAATTTAGTGGTTAATTGAAAACTAGAAAACAGATTTAACTGACGAGTTTTTTTTTTTTGTGTATAATATAATTGAATGTTCATTTGACTCCTTTTTGGTTATATATAGGCTTTTGAAATCGGATTTCTGTTCGAGACGGATCAGGTATATATACTCGAGTTTAGAGCTGGATAATCGGGACTTTTCGGATTAAGCTGACCGTATATGTGTGTGTTGTGGATGCAACCACTGAGCGTCACTGGGCTTCAAACGGCAATAGTGGAAGTAGTATATAGTAGTCAGAGTGGAATTGTGCGTGGATCAATAAATCGCACGTGAAAAGGAATGGTTCGTCGGAGACATGGAGTAGCGAATAAAAGGGAACTTGCAAAGATACGGGCGACTTTGTGGGGTTGAAAACGACTATATAGAAAAGGGGTTGGGGGTGGACTAAAGTCAACCGATTTCGACGATAAGAAACTTGAGCAAGAGAGAGAGAGAGAGAGAGAGAGAGAGAGGGAGAATTCTCACAGAGAGTCTTATTATCCTTTCACAAATCCTCTTCATCTTTAACCGGCTAACGATTTACATAAGTCCTTTCAATCATTATTTTCATCTCTCAATTTTCCAAATTTTCTTCATATTGATCTCTCAAATGTCCTGGAAAGCTAACTTTTTCCCCTTGAAATCTCATTTTTATCCTTATTCTTTCACTTGAATTATTATTTCATTATCATCCATTTTTTGCATTTTATTTTCACTTTATGAAATCAAAATCAAAGTGTAATTGTAAGTGAGAATGAAAGTGCAAGTATGAGTAAAAATTGAAAGAAATAAATATTTGCCATAAATTTCGAAAACTATTAAATGTACCCTATACTCTAAAAAAAATGTAAAATGCTCTCATATATTTCGATATGGATACGAAAGAGACTTGGCGAAGCGCTAAAGAATCTTATAAATCCATAAAAATTCCGCAAAGTATATATGCCAGGTTCAGAACCATGACGACGTCGACGACGACGACGACGAGCTTTCACGTTGGCTGCTTTCCAGATTTTGCCCAAAAACGACGGCAGGACTATTTACTGCCGGTGCAGCATCCGACCGCGCTCGATACTCAATTCTGTAGGAGGATAATTGGATATTTTATACGCGACTGCAGAAACGCTTTCATTGTTTTTTTTTCTCGTTTCTCCATTTATTTATTTTTTTTTCTCTTTTACTTCATTTGAACCAACAAATTTAAATTTAATACAGTGTATACTCAATTACGAAACTTGATGTGTGTATGTGTGTGTCGCATGTTCATAGCAGATATAAGCCGATAGTACGTAATTGTTCCTGTATTTTCGAGCATTGTTTCAATTTCCCCTTAATCGCTCAGCTGCCTCGAGCAATTTCGCATCATAATAGCTCTGCGTTATAAATCCCCCCCCCCCTTCCTTCTCTCACAGCTTCCATCTTCTCATCACACCTACCTATGCTCCTTTCTCAGTACAAAATTTAAAAGTCAATTGTAAAAAAATCGTTTTTGTTAAACATATATTTTTTTGTTTGTTTCAGGATTAAAAAAAGTGTTTCTTCGTTGAAGGTTTTTTTTTTTAAACTTAGAAAATGAGGCTACTACACCACTTCGCACAGAGGACACGTACTTCATTTTCCACAATAGTAATCCTCATCTCGTCGAAACCCAAACAAAATTTGTTCAACCACGATCTCTCGTCGCATCGAACATGCACATATACACCAGCGACGATTCAAATCGACATGGAAATGAGTCTCTCTTGAAACTACACGTGTTCGTTCAATCGTTACCGCGGGCATCAGGTGAGTTTGAATTTTCATTTTTCGATTTTCTATTCCAACACTATTCATTCTTCAATTACAACTCCAAAATTGCATAAATTTCACAAACATTCAATACACAGAGAAATTTACTGCATTTGATTTCTATACTCTGTGTATAAGAGACAAAACATGTAATTTACAAAAATAATTTACAAAAATAGTAACATTTTTCGTATTTGTTTTGTAATTTTTTTTTATAAATTACAACAAGAACAAAATCATTAATAACATTATCGACTGATGGTAAATGCAGAAAATTGATATTAAAAAATTACCGACATAGAAATCTACATTATCGACTGATGGTAAAACAGGAAAATGACAATATAAAAAATTATCGACATAGAAATCTACATTACCGTCTGATGATAAATGCAGAAAATTGATATAAAAAAATTACCGACATAGAAATCTACATTACTGACTGATGATAAAACAGGAAAAGGAAAAAATAAAAAATCAGGAAAAGAAGCAGGGGCAAAGCGCCTACATCTAGGGTTTCGTGGCTTATTAAATTCAGATCAAAAGTTATTTGTATATAATAAATAATTTATAATTACATTATTTGTGAATTGCTATGGTTGCTATGCTGATGGTTGTCATGGTAATGGTTGCTGTGGAAACGGTTGCCATGGAAACAGTTGTCATGGTAACGGTTGCTATGAAAACCATACGAGTGTACGACGGATGGACGGACGCCAAAGCGGAACTATAAGGCTTTCTGCCCTAGGCCACGAAACCCTAAAAATTACCTACCTAGAAATCTAAATTACCGTCTGATGATACGAAATCTGTTTTACCATTAGTCGGTAATGCAAATTTCTATGTCGGTAATTTTTATATTTTCATGTTTCTGTTTTACTATCTGTCTGTAATATAGATTTCTATGTCGGTAATTTTTTTATATCATTTTCCTGCTTTTACCATCAGTCAATACTGTAGATTTCTGTGCCGGTAATCGATTTTTATTTTTAAAAAATTAGTTTTAACTTAGTATTTAAAAAAATATTACTTTTTTCGACAATATTAAAAGTTTTTTTATACATTTGTAGTCTTCATGTTTAATATTTAAAAAGTGCCATACGGCATTAAAAAATAGACAAAATTTGCTGTAATTTAAGCCCATATAGAGCTTTATTAATTAAATCTATTTTAGGCAGAGGGGGTGTCTTTTTGACAAAGAATGCCCCATATATATATATTATTTATTATTTTTTTATTTTAAAACTTATACAAGTTTATTAAGGATTTATAATTATAAATGTAAATTTATAAGCTACAAGTTCATTGAAACATTTTTTCAATGTATTATCTGCAAAATCCTTTATCTAAAGGGCAAAATTGACTTTTGAACTGAAAATCTATAGTTTGGTTAGAAATCTCGACGTTAATAAACGACATCTATTTGTAAATCTGACAAGTCAGAGGAAACGATTGGAAAATCCGGAAGGAAATCTCTCTCCCCGTTTATTAAACTGATCTTTAAGTTTAGACAGCTCATACCTATATCTATAAAAAAAAAGAAAAGGACGAACTGATCTTTAATATAAGTTTCATCATTTAACCAATACCCCTTATCTGTAGATTCGTTGAAAAGTTTTCAAATTTCTATTCTTTCATTCACTATAAAAACAAATTAATTAAAATTATATTCTACTTTCGTTTACACTGAAATATTTATAGGAACTTTGATTTTAAGTAAAATTAAAAATACAGTAGGGGAGTGTAGTTATGAGTGGATCATGTTTTGTTTTTCGCGTATAATTTATTTTAGAGTAAATAATTAGCTAACATGTATTTAGAATTTTTTTTTTTTACTGTCATTGAAATATTTTCTCGACGTTTTGTAGAAAGTGTTTTTTCCCACTATTTTTTTTTTGTAATCATCAATGGGCCATCCTGGAAAAATTTTTTAAAAATCTTAAAATTTTTCAAAATGGACTAGGAAGTGGTACAATTGTGAGGACGGTCCACTGATGACTACATTCCCCTATTTTTGAACGTTTAAAGAAGAATTCATTAACGATTTTATATATATAAATTAAGACATGACGCGTTCATAATGATCTCGTTTCAACATTAAACAATAGAAGCAGCAATGACGGAATTCTGGAGCGTACGTTTATATATAATATATAGATATATAGCACTTCAACTCGTAGCAAGGACGCAATTGTCGACCTAAGTACCGCTGAAAGTTAGACAAAGCCATCATCTCCTACAATGCGCGTGACAATACGAGTTGAGGATTGGCTGGAATCGAGAGCAGTTGGAGATGAAACCAGGCTAAATTCGTAAAACCCATGTGTCCCAACATTTATCCAAAAGCACCATATTTCTATATTTGTTTCGTATATACGTTTAGGTATTTCTACTCTCGCAAATAATACACAAAAAAAAATTTATTGTCTTAAAAAACTCGGGCAGAAATTAAAATTGCCTAATGAGGTACTGAATAGTTTTCCCCATGGGTCACTTGTTGAAAAAATCGATAAGATTTAAGCTGTTTAGAACCAATGTCTTACCTAACAAAAAAAACTGGCTAGAGCCTTGTCAGTTTTTCTCGAAATTGCCCAATTGCAGATCAAATTTTAAATAACTTTTTTCCAAACTAGAAAAATCCTATTTCTTTAATAGGGCTCCGTTCAGTTTTCCTAGTTTGAAAACAACTATATTTTTTCAAACTAGGAAAACTGGACAGAGCCCTATTAAAGAAATGGGACTTTCCTAATTTGGAATAAAGTTATTTAAAATTTTATCTCCAATAGGGCAGTTTCGAGAAAAACTGACAAGGTTCTAGCAAGTTTTTTTCTTACGTAAATTGTATTAATACAGAATGAGTATAAATTTCCGTTATAAATAACACAAAAGTACCTAAACTGAGGGCATATCTCGTTACACGAAAATTCCAAGTTGACGTCTCATTTTATACTTATCACAAACCATTACGTTTTCCTCTGTGTGTGTGTGTGTATCCCGAAAACAACGACAAAATGTTATATGGTTGTCAGGCTCTATCTTTAGTCGAGAAGTTTTAGGTCCGAGCGTTTGAAACAAGGAGCAGTAAAGTAGAGAAGCACGTGCGCGACATGACGCCAAGGCGTCGTTTCCGGGCAAAGAAAAAAAAAAAAGAAAAAACAACAACAAAAAGAAAATTCGCGATTTTATCGGACATATAACGATTATACAGGCGACACAGTCTGCATGACGTGTGACTATACTTCAAAAGTGGAATAGAGAATTGCGTGTAAGTCTTTGCTGTATAAAGCGGAAGACCTTATCTAAGTGGTAATGTTAAGTGCTTATAATGCGTCGCTGCACGCTCAATGGTAAACCGTGTGTTAAAATATGTAATGCGGTACTTCAGATACTGTTTCGTGAACAGGTGCTTAAATGTGCGTTCAGTCTTCCGTACTTCTCAACGCACTGATTCAATTCGACGTAATCGTTGACAATCTTTATTGTTTATTGTTTTTACTAATTCATAGTCAAAAATGACTAACTGATAGTAAAAACAAAAACTACTAATTGTCAGTAGGAAACTACTAGTTGTTAGTAGAAAACTACTCATTGTTAGTACAATACTACTAATTGTTATTAGAAAATTACTAATTAATTTTTAGTTAAAAACTACTGATTGGCAGTAGAAAACAACTAATTGATAATGTAAAACTACTAATTGGTAGTAAGAAACTATTAATTCATTATAGAAAACTACTAATGTGTAGTTTTATACTATTAAATAGTAATTTTCTACTAACAACTGGTAGTTTATTAGTGACAATTAGTAGTTTTCTATTATCAATCAGTAGTTTTCAACTGAAAAATTAGTTAGCAGTTTTCTAATGTAGTTAGTATGTTTCTACTATTAGTTAGTATTTTTCTACTACTAGTAAGTATTTTTCTACTGCTAGTTAGTAGTTTTATACTATTAATTAGTAATTTTTGTACTACCAATTTGTAGTTTTCAACTACTAGCTAGTATTTTTCTACTATTTATTAGTAGTTTTCTACTATCAATTAGTAGTTTTATACTATTAATTAGTAGTTACTATCAATTAGTAGTTTTCTACTACCAATTAGTAGTTTTCTACTATCAAATAGTAATTATCTACTAACAACTGGTAGTTCCCTACTGACAATTAGTAGTTTTCTACTATTTATTATTAATTTTCTACTAACTAGTAGTTTCCTACTAAAAATTAGTATTTTTGTACTCTCAATTAGTAGTTTTCTACTATCAAATAGTAATTATCTACTAACAACTGGTAGTTCCCTACTGACAATTAGTAGTTTTCTACTATTTATTATTTATTTTCTACTAACTAGTAGTTTCTACTAAAAATTAGTATTTTTCTACTATCAATTAGTAGTTTTCTACTATCAAATAGTAATTATCTAATCACAACTGGTAGTTCCCTACTGACAATTAGTAGTTTTCTACTATTTATTAGTAATTTTCTACGAACTAGTAGTTTCCCACTAAAAATTAGTATTTTTCTACTGTCAATTAGTAGTTTTCTACTATTAAATATTAATTATCTAATAACAACTGGTAGTTCCCTACTGACAATTAGTAGTTTTCTACTATTTATTAGTAATTTTCTACTAACTAGTAGTTTCCTACTAAAAATTAGTATTTTTCTACTATCAATTATTAATTTTTTACTAACAAATGGTAGATTTTTACTAAAAAATAATAGTTTTTTCTACCATTAATTTGTCCTTTTTGACTAACAATTAGTAAAAACAGTTGCTAATTCATTTACTAAACGAATCGGTGTAGTTAACTTAGTAAAAAATGACTAATTCAAATTTAGCGAGTAAGATATTAAAATAAGATGCAAACAGCTCTTATTTTATCATTCATTTAGTTTTGCATAAAGAACATTTTAAATTCATACCATCAGTAAATGAAAAAAAAAAATTATATTTTGATTATAAAGAACCGGATTTCGTTTTTTTTTTTTTATTTCTAT